ATTACTTTCACAATGTGAAAATTCTTTTTTAAATAAACCAGGTGTTAATGGTAAAGACATAGAGATTAGGTTTTAAAATATTCTGAGAATAAAAGGAATTATATTTCCAAGAAGCAGTACAAAAGAGGGCTGCGGACAGTGGTAAGCACAGGTAGTTTGCAATCAGTCTGATGTGGGTAGGAATTCTAGCTTTAACATTTACTACTAGTTGTGATTTCAGGCAAATCATTTACCGTTTGTGAACTTCAGTTTCCCTTTTATAAAATGGAGATAATATTAACTTGTAAAACTGACCATACGTAAAGCAAGTCACACAGGACCCGGCACATATGAGCACTCGATACATAGCTACCCTTAGGAAAGACTTTAATTATCACCCCACTTGCCTCACACAGAGCTGACACCCTAAAAATAGGTTTTGGGGGTGAGGGCAAGTGCTGTGTGCCTCGGGAAGAAAAGGCACACGTGCCCTGATACTGGGTCTGGAAGAGTACGTGGAACTCAAGCTTGAAAGTGTGGCTTCCAAGTCAAAAACAGCAAAAATCAACGTCGGTTCCTACAGCCGTAATCTTGGGCAGCATGGTCAGTCGGGAGGTAGACCCAACCGCCCCGGCGACCCGCTCACGTGTCGGCTCGCAGACCTCGCCGTCTGTCCGTCGATCGACTCGATCGGGGATCGTCGGTGCTCTTCTGACTGTGGAAGTCGCTGTCATTCTCGCGAGGCTTCAGACAGGGCGGCACGGGAAGAGGCGGGCCCGCTGGCAAAAAAAGGAGCGTAAGGCGGCAGCACGCTGCGTTCCCAGAAGGCTGTGGGCGAGCCGCGTTTCTTCTGTGGTCTTCTGAGCGGGCGCGTGAACGGTCCCTGCAGGCTGGCCATGGCGCTTCACGTTCCCAAGGCCCCGGGCTTTGCCCAGATGCTCAAGGAGGGAACGAAAGTAAGGAATGGAGGAAGGGGATGCGGTGGGAGAGTGAACATGGAGCCGCGGCGGCCGCAGCAGAGGAGGAGCTCGTACTGACGCCCTCGGTGTGCTCCCTTGGCACAGCGGTCGGGGGAAGATTCCAGAAAGGGAGGTGGTGTCGAGGGCGGGGGCTGCGCGGCCCTGCAGGTCTGCCGGTGCTTCCGTTCTTTCTGGACCCAGGGAAAGTCTGAGGGGCAGAAGCGATGGAAAGGGATAAAGCCACAGAATTCGTGCTCTACACTTTCTAGCTGAGCAGACGTAAAAGCCATGCATGCGTGCATCTTTTTCCTTTGTTCGTAAAATGGGCGTGATCAGACCCTCCATCCTGAAAGGGTAGTGTGAGGGTATAGCTGATTGAGTGAAATTCATCTGCGACGTAGATTGGCAGATGAGTTCGCAGGATGGGAAGGGTTAAGAAGTAAGCGATCCAGAGCGGTGAGCTTCGGAACCAGGTTGATTCCTTTCGAAAGACAAACAGGGCTTCCAGTTTAGTTCTCAGAAGCAGTGCGTTGTAGCCAAATATATTCCAGTTGCATTATAATGTTAGCTTGATGTAAACGTACCCCTTTCTTCATTTTTAAACTGATAAAATTGGGCCAAAAGATGATGTCTTGAGTTCTTTGACTTGGGTAATCCACAGCATAAATGATACCTTGGCCCAAGTAACAATATTTTGTTTTATGTTCTGGTGTTCATATAATTTCAGGGGCACAGTTTAAAAAGAGATATTACTATCGCTTCTCGGCCTTTTGGTAAAGATGAAATGTAAAAAGAGATATTACTACGCTATCGATAAATTTGGTGTTTTGGCTTTTCAAATTGTGTTTCTTTGTCTTCCACATTTTATGTGCTTAATCAAAGCTGAATTTGTGGCTGAATTTAAGGTTTTTATGGGAGGTAAAGAGAGCATTAACAGTATTAGGAAGCTAAGTTCTTATTTGTGGGATGCATTTTGGGAATAATTTGGGGCAGGGCACTGTGGCTCACACCTGTAATCCCAACACTTTGGAAGGCCAAGGCTGGAGGATCGCTTCAGGGTGGGCATTTCAGACCAGCCTGGGCAACATAGTTAGACCCAAAAGAAAAATTAAAAAAATTAGCCAGCAGCCTTGCACACCTGTTATCTCATCTACTGGGATGGTGGAAGTGGAGGATCACTTAAGTTCAGGTGTTTGAGGCAACAGTGACCTATAAAAAGTTCCACTGAATTCCACCCTGTCTCTTAAGATTTTAGAAAAATAACATGACATTGACTGCTCCTCTAAAAAATATCATGGGCTGAAATCCTGGCTTCCAGTTTGAATTTTTTTTTTTCCATTAATACAGGTTTGGAAAATTTATATAACACAAAGAGTTATTTAAAAGTTGTTCACATGCTAGTAGTTTTTTTACAGAACACTGAGATATTTCATTTAGTAAATAGGTACAGAAGGGACAGCCCTGAAAGTCAAAAGCCTCAGCTCACCTAGAGTTTATATTCTTCTGAGGCAGATAAAATAAATGATCAAATAAACACGGTTTTCAAATATCGGTGAAGGAAATAAACTGTACTGCCATAAAGAATGAGGGAAGTAGAAAGCCTGTCTTTAAAAAGGAAGAATTGGGGTAGATAAAAATGACTAAATAAGATGTTCAGGAGAAGAACTCCTCAGCACAATGTTGAGTATAGAAATAACTAGCTAAGATGAGTGGGGCCAGACTGAGGAGCCAGCTAGTACACAGACCCTGAGAATAGAATCAGTAGGGCTTTTTTTTCCAAACAAAGGTAGTGGGGTTGAAGCTTACCAAGGAAGATAAGAAGGATAATCAGAAGAGAAGAGGAGAATATTTAGGGCCATGTTTTTCCTTACAGTGATCTGCGTTTTATCCTGAGAATGGTGGGAACAGAGGTCTGAAATGTAGCATCGATGGCATCTGCTTTTTGATTAGGTGGCCCTTCCTGGGGTGAGGGGAAAGGAGTGAGAGGGTATAAGCCAAGAGGTCAGACTTAAATGTTACTATTTGGAGTTCAGCACTTCTTGTTGAAGACACTTCTAAAGTAGTGTTTAGATCACAATTCCTTATTTTTAAATAAAAATGTCTTGTATTTTAGAATAGTACTGTCCAATAAAACACTTTCTGCAGCGATGGAAACGTTCTGTATGGGCAGTGTTGAATGATATCCACTAGCCGCATGTAGCTACTGGCCGCTTAAATTATAGTTAGAGCAATTGAGGGACTGAGTTTTTTATTTTAATAACTCCAACATTTGAAGACTTTAACTTGGTTAGTGGCTACTCTATTGTGTTGTAATTGAAAAGAGCATGAGCATTCAATCATCTGTATACTTCAGTCCATAAACACTTCAGGGGCAAATACCAAATGGGAATTCTTAATGAACATAGAACTGCTGGCTTTACAAAGCTCAGGTTCTAAAACAAGGAAAAGATACCACATTTCTGCTTTTAAAATAGTCATGCTTTATTCATTCAACTAGTGAGGAAATTTAAGAATCCTTTATTAATATCAAGTGCTATGTTTTACATATATAAATCTTGTTTAATTATCTTAACAGTCCATGAGGCAGGTACTATTATTACTACCTTCAGTTTACAGATCAAGAAATGTTAGAGAAATTGCCCAAGGTCATGTAAGTTAATTAGCCAGAAAGCTAATAATACTTGTAACCAGCCCCCCTTATCAAATAGCTAAGCTGTTCTGCCTTTTTATTGGAAGTAAGATAAGCAAAAACCTACTATTTGAAAATTCTTGTTTCTGGCTCAGTGCCCATAGCACAGTGGTTATGGCGTCGTCCACATGCACCGAGGCTGGCAGGTTCGAACCCAGCCCAGGCGAGCTAAGCAATAATGACAACTGCAACAGAAAAATAGCTGGGTGTTGTGGCAGGCGCCTGTTGTCCCAGCTACTTGGGAGGCTAAGGCAAGAGAATCGCTTAAGCTCAAGAGTTTGAGGTTGCTTTTAGCTGTGATACGACAGCACTCTACCTAGGG